CTGGCATGGCTGGGATGGTCTGTCCTGGCCACAGAGCAGAAAGATTAATGCAGAAGTGAGGACTGGAAATCATCAGCTCGTGCAGGAGCAGCCTGAATCAGCTGGCTTTAATAGGGATGGAATATTTGCAGGGCAGGATGTAATTCCCACATTTCCATAGTGCAGCTTTACTGGTGGCAACCCCAAAGCCAGCCTGGCTCTGGATCAGTTCCCAGGGCAGGTCACCCATCCAGGACGCACTGAGCAGCAGATGGTGGCAAGGATCGCCTTTGCTGAGCCAAATAAATCAAACCAAACCCTCAAAATGCCATTTTTCTGCTTTGAAATGGAATGTTGAAGGTGGAAAGATGCTCAGAGCTGCCCAAGGGCTGGGATCACAGGTGGGTGAGCAATGGGCAGGATCCCCAAAATGGCAAATTATTAAAATCAATCAGATCATAACAGATGTGCTGGAAGTCCTTGACACCTTCTTGGAAATACCAAACTTCTGCCCAAAATATCTTGGGAATAACAAGGTTTTCTCTCCCACAGACACCCCAAAAGCCTTAAAAGCAATTTTAACCCAGCAACAGGGAAGCTTTTCCACATTGTGAGTTTACAATGGGGTGCTGCACACGATGCTTAAATAAACTCTCCTCTAGCAATTAGAAATGAAGAGAATTATTGAAAAGAAGAACAGAGAAGTGAACCTAAAATTAAAATGCACTTACACAATTAGCTCTGAGTTGGAGATACTGCTGCCCTGAGAACATGGCAATAATTGCTGAGGTTTCTATAGAATTTCTAACCCTAAGGCATGTGGAGCTCTTTGCACATGCTGAGAACACTTTGCTGATAAACCAAATTAATCTCTGGAGAGGAGAGAACCAGCCCAACACATTCAAAGGTCACTTGAAACAGAAGGCAAGTAGGTGGAGAGCAAATTTCTATCCATAATGGAGTTTATTCAGGTACCAAAATGAGTTTTAAATCCTGTTTTGGACCTCTGGAATGAGTGGAGAGACTGGCAGAGGACTGGGAGCTGGATTGAGAATGTGCTGTGAGGGATGTCTGGGGTTTATCTCAGTGCAGGTGTGGATTTAATAACAATTAAATAACAATTTAATAACAAATTAATGACCCTTGTTATTTAAGTGGGAAGTTTCCAGCAGGTCTGGGCTTGGTCAGGAGGAGCTGTTGGACATTCCAGCTGCAGGGAATGGGGCCAGCAGGGCTCTGCTCTGGCCCATGGATCCCTAATTCCAGCTGCAAGACAGATCCTGCCCCACCACAGCACAGCTGCCTCTGTTTCCCAAAGCACCAGTGGTGCAGTTAAAGGCAGAGTTAAAAGTTAAAAGCAGAGTTTCATTTCATTTCAAAGCTCAAGGTGCCCTGCAGAGCCTCGGCCTCCCCACCAGACACAAACTGCTGCACAGCTTCTGATCCTCAACTTGTATTAGGCCAAATAACAAAAAGGGGTTTAGCTTCACTCTAATCTCTTTTTCCAACATCCAGGCATATTGAAAGAGATTATCTTTCGAAAATTGAAGGAAACTGTGGTATTTTAAAACTCTAATCCCCTCTCTCCTTTGTAGGAAATAAGATAAATATCTTGATTTCACTCAGCACAATTACAAGAAGCTTTTCTCTTATCAGGAGCTCTCTGTTCCCTCCAGTGAGGCATTTTTGGAGCTGGGGCAAGGCTTCAGCAGTGTGCTGCTCTTTGGGGAGCAGGGTTTGGGGGAAGGAGGCTCCTCTGACCCTTGGGCTTTGTGGGACCCCCACATTCCCAGACCTGAGGGCTCCTCTGCTCCTGGATCCTGCAGCAGATCCCAAATCTCCCCTGTGCTCCCTGACTCAGCCCAAATCTGAGGGACCTCTGATGGTCACAGCTCCCTGTGCCCTGCTCAGGACCCCTGGCAGCCCCCCAGGCACAGGGAATTCACACAAAGGCTGGAAAACCACGCCAGGGAAACTGGAACCTAAGTTTGGATGTAAATATTGGCAAAGCTTCATTAAAAAATTAAAAAGCTCCTTTAATAAATGACAAAACTCTTGTTTTAGTTGTTGTTGAGTCTAATCATCCCCCGTAGTTTTAGAGAATCCCTTTAGAGGCTGGCAGCTAATGAAATTTAGGTGAAAACCAAATTACCTCTTGACTATTTAACAATATTAGCATTTCCAGGCAGCAATCAGATCCCCTCAGCTGGGGCTTGGTCTGGAGCCACTTCTGCTGGCACAGGGAGCTGATCCCTGAACTTCTGCTGGCACAGGGAGCTGATCCCTGAACTGAAACCTCTGGAGTGGAAAACACATCTTGAGCAACCTCTGGCTGCCCTGCCCTGGGCAAAATGAATGAAATATCACTGAAATCACCATTTTTAAATTCTCATCATCTGCTGTGTTTCTCAAGCTTTTGCTGAGGAATTTCCAAAAAAAGAAAATAAAAAATAAATTAGTGGGAATGTGCTTTATCAGCTCCTTGGCAAGGGGGGAAGTTCTTTCCTGACGGTGCCATGATTAAAGGAACTGCTGGAGAAGGGACAACACAGACCCCAAAGCTCTGCAGGTTCCACCAGCACAAAAACTCCACTCTTGATTCCAAAATGCCTCCAAAAACGCCCAGTGCACATCCAGTGTGAAACAGGGAGCACTGGGGAATGGAGGGAAGAGCGAGGCAGAGGGATCCATGTGGGGTTAATGAACTTGTAGTGAAGAACCTGTCAGAGCTCTGATTCATCTTGCAGGATCATTAAAATTGCCAGGCAGAAATGTTAACCCTTTCCAGCTCTGAGTGTGCTGCTGTGCCTTGGGAAGCTCCGTGGTCTCTGCCTTAGTGCCCAGGGAAGGATGGGGGACAGAGGAACAGGAGGAGATGTTTTTACCTGTGAGCCCAGATCTGTGAGAGACCTGCTGGGTGCACCAGGAGCAGCTCTGAGGAGCAACCTCTGCCCTTCCTGAGCTGAGTCAGGGCTGCAGCCCCTGAAATCCCACCCTCACAGGTGGGGTGGGATCACTGCTCCACCCCCCAGGACCACCCTGTGCTCTGGGGAATGCTGGATGAGAGCCACGCATCCCAAACCACTCAAAAACCATCCTAAACCATTCAGAAAACATCCCAAACCACTCAAAAACCATCCCAAACCATTCAAAAACCATCCCAAACCATTCACAAAACCATCCCAAACCATTCACAAAACCATCCCAAAACAATCAAAAACCATCCCAAACCATCCAAAAACCATCCCAAACCATTCACAAAACCAGCCCAAACCATTCAAAAACCATCCCAAACCATTCAAAAACCATCCCAAACCATTCACAAAACCATCCCAAACCATTCAAAAACCATCCCAAACCACTCAAAAACCATCCCAAACCATTCACAAAACCATCCCAAAACAATCAAAAACCATCCCAAACCATCCAAAAACCATCCCAAACCATTCAAAAACCAGCACAAACCATTCAAAAACCAGCACAAACCATTCAAAAAATAGCACAAACAATTCAAAAACCATCCCAAACCATTCAAAAACCATCCCAAACCACTCAAAAACCATCCCAAACCATTCACAAAACCATCCCAAAACAATCAAAAACCATCCAAAAACCATCCCAAACCATTCAAAAACCAGCCCAAACCATCCAAAAACCATCCCAAACCATCCCAAACCATTCAAAAACCAGCACAAACCGTTCAAAAACCAGCACAAACCATTCAAAAAATAGCACAAACCATTCAAAAACCATCCCAAACCATTCAAAAACCACCATAAACCATTCAAAAAATAGCACAAACCACTCAAAAACCACCACAAACCATTCACAAAACCAGCACAGACCATTCAAACACCCACAGAAACTCCAGAATTCTGTGATCACTCATCCTTTTGCTCCACAACAACTCTGACCTCAATTCCTACAACCAGCAGGGATTTCTTTTTATTCCAATGCACTTGTGGAGCTGTAAAAGCTCTATAAACTGGAGGCCTGAGTTGCTGCCCTCCCGTTCCAGTGGCAGCAGGGAATGCTGGGGTTCACTGCAGTTCCAGCCCCCACAAAGTGCTTGTTTGTTTTTCCCCACTTTGTTTCTCTTGGCTCTTTCAAGAGAAAAATCAGGATTTTTTTTTTTTCCTTAGGAGAAATCCAATTGACATTTGGAGACCTCTCAGTGCTGGAAAATGAGTGGTAAATAAAGCTCTCACTAGAGCTTTCCCTGAAGAGACCAATGCAGTGCTCTGAGCACTTCTGAGGGGAAATGGGAGCACACCAGAGTGACCTCCCTGACCCAGATGTTCCAGAGTTTGTCTGCTCTGATCATTGCTCAAATATATTTCACCCAAAGTCATCTTCTTCGCTGTGGTAAAATTTCACAACTTGTTTTATCCAGGAATTCCAGCAATGCTGACCTGGCTCCCCATCCACTTGTGCTGTACAAGAGTTTAATGATTCATGGAGGCAGGAGTTTGTTGGTTTGTGTTGAATAAATATCTACTCATGACAGAAGAAATGTAAACAATCTGTTTCAAGGGGAACACAGCATTTTTCGGATGATTTTGGCTTTTTTTCAGTCTGGTGATGCACAGAACCCTGAACACCCAGAAACCCCCACCTATCTACAGTTCATTATTGTGCTGATTTTTGTCACAGCTGAGTTCAGCACAAGCTCTGTCCCTCTTTCCACTGCTCTCCCTGCCAGGGGACAAAAACCAGCTGTAAAATCCCACACATTTACAGAAACTTTTGCTCCCTTTCCTAAAAAAGATACAGCAGGCATCAAATTGTTCCCTACAGACCAAATGACACCAAAATCCACACACAACTTCCCCCAGCTCTAGAACATCCTCCCAAGAGAACACTGGCACATCCTCCTGTTCTCCTGGGCAGGCCTCTGGAGAACCTGCTCCCTCCAAACCCATCCCAGCACCCTCAGGATTGCTTTTGCCCCATCCCTTTCCCATTTTTACCACAGAGACACGACAAAACCGACGCTCACCCCAGCACGGGGCCGCGCTCACCTCAGCACGTGCGTGGAGCCGTTGATGGTGGTGGTGGAGCAGGGCACGGTCTGGCCCAGGATGGAAGGCCTTCGGTAGCGCTCGTCGCCGCAGCACAGGATGATGAGGAAGGCACGTCTGAAAGCCTTGTTGAGGAAGGCGTAGAGGAAAGGGTTCAAGCCCGAGTTGATGTAGCCCAGCCACAGGAAGGCCGTCCACAGCTTGCCGGGCACCGTGTAGTTTATGAAGGGATCCACGATGTTGGTGACGAAGAACGGGGCCCAGCAGAGGCAGAAGCAGCCCATGATGATGCACAGGGTCTTGGCAGCTTTGGTCTCGGTTTTCATGCGGTGGGTGCTGTGCTGGTCAGGGGGGTGCTGCCGTGGCTCCTGGGGGTGCTGCCGTGGCTCCTGGGGGTGCTGCCGTGGCTCCTGGGGGTGCTGCCGTGGCTCAGCCGGGTTCCCCGCGCGCTGCAGCAGCTGGATCTGCCGCGCGTGTGCCCGCGCCGTCACGTAGATGCGGTGGTAGGCCAGCACCATCAGCAGGAAGGGGATGTAGAAGGCCACCACGGAGCAGGTGATGGCGTAGGGCTTGTTCACCATGAAGATGCAGTAGGTGGAGTTGGAGGCCTTGTTGAACTGTCTTTGCTGGATCTGGGGTGCGGAGGGGAGGATAAGGAGGGAGGAAGTGGGAATCAGAGTTGGTTTTGGAGGGACCTTAAAGATCATCTTGTGCTACTCCCTGTCATGGGCTGGGACACCTTCCACTAGAGCAGGTTGCTCCAAGCCCCGTCCAACCATCCTTGGACACTTGGACACATCCACAACCTCCCTGAGCCAGGCCCTCACCACCCTCACAGGGAAGGATTTTTTCCTGGTATCCCATCTAACCCTGCCTCTGGCCATTCCCTTGTCCTGGCACTACCAGCTCTTGTTTATTCTACCAAGAGAATCATTCTGCTTCTTGTTTAGGCGAGAGCTGCAAAGGCCAAGGGGACCCAGGACTCCTGAGGTGTTGTCAGGGCTCAGCTGGGGCTTGGCCTTTTTTCCCAAGGATTCCTTACTGAACTGAGAGTCAGTTTGGTAAAATCCTCTCCCAGGACCACCCACTCAGTCCTTCCAGGACAGAGCCACCCCCCCTTAAAGATCCCCTCCAAAAATTCAGCAGCCCCCCTGCACTGGCAACAAGAAGTTTCTCCTTCTTTTCCCCTTTCCCTGAAAATTTGCTTTTTAAAGAACATCCAGCACCCAACACACTGGATTGGTGTCCGTCCCTGGCTACTCACCAGGTCAATGATGCCAATGCTATTCCAGCCTTGCATGATAGGGAGGAAGGAAATAAAGGTTGGGATGACCCAGCAGCCTCCCAGCATCACCGCGATGCGCAGCGGGGTCATCTTGTTCCTGTACACCAGGGGCTGGCAGCAGATGGCATAGTACCTGCAGGGCAACAACAGGACAGAAAAAGGTCAGAGGAGACTCCCAAGCCTCCTAAAAATTAAATTGTAAAGCCCTTTCTCCAGCTGTTTCTCCTGCCTTTCAAACCAGAGGGAAAACAGGAGTCTGTAGCCCGCTTCTGCTGGGTCTCTCATGCAGGAACTTGGGACTTGCAAAGAAAAAACAGAGTTTTCTGCTTTCCAGCCAGGGAGATTGAGGCACAGGTAAATGCTCTGGGCTGTCTGAGGTCCCAGGGCAAGGGAGAGGTTCCATAATCAGCCCTGCTCTCCCTCTGCACTGAGGATGTCCCCACCCTCCAAGGAATATCCCTTCCTTCCAGCTGGATTTCCTGTGCTGGACATTTATTTTGACAAGGCTGCAAAAGCTGTTACCACAAATCAACAAAGTCTCCCAAAGCTGTGAAAATGTCGGTAAAATGAAGAGTGTTGTTCCATTTTCCAGGAATCCACCTCTTTTCCAGCTGGGCTTTAACATTCCCAAAGGTGTCTTGGCACCCTCAAGGGGATGTGGCCTGACCTCTCCTCCCTCCTCCTGACCCATCCAAAATATCCCAAGTACAACAGGTCCCTGCTCCTAAACCAGCTATGACCTAAAAATGTCTTCTCAAAGAGAAAAGAAATCAAATTTTCTGTTTGTTTGATCCCTGCAGGTGGATCTCTACATCAGGAAGGGGTAGCAAGCCTAAAACTGGAAATCTCTGCCTCTGAAATTATTATTTATCCCTAAGAAAACCAGATCAGCAAATACCCAGTTGCAGACTTTCAGTGGTCCTGGCCTGACAATCAGTCTCAGGTTCCCAATAAAATATTTTTTGCTCTTTGAATATTTTGATTTAGCAGACTCTGTTAAAAATGGTATGAGGAGGGCAGAACCATGAATTAGAGGCATTAAATTAGCAAGCACACGTGTGTTAAAGGGCTGCTCTTTGAGATGTGCATTTATTTAATCAAGATTTGAGTGGGACCCAAGAGCTTTGTCCTAAACAGGCACAAAAATATAAGAATTTCTGTTTTTTCCTAAGTTGTTTTTTTTTTTTTATTAAAGTCATGTGGAGTCAACTGAACTGCTTTATTTTGATAAAATCAGATGATATATTCCACACAGAGGCTTGAAATAATATCAAAGTGTCAAAAGAAAACATTCCTTAAAAGTCTCTTTGAAACAAGATTCAAAATGTCACAGGGGAAAAACGCTGAAACAAGCATTCAACTCCTGCAATTTGATAATTCCTCTGTTCTCCTCTGGTTTCCTGTGTGCATGAAAAATCAGCTTGTGCCTCTGGAAAGCTGCACTTCCAAAGAAATTGGATTTGCCAGGAGCTGCTCTTTTAGACCTGTGGGTGAAATGTTCCTCTCGTGGAGCTCCAGCTCGGCTGGGGCAGATCCCTGTCCCAGGAAATGACCTTTGAATTCCAACAGGAACTTTTTGCATGTTTACTGGGACAGAGGGAGCTTCCCTTGGCATCAGAGCTGCTCCTCTGACTCTCAACACAAAGGATCTATATTAAAAAAATATATATATTTAAATTATTGAATTGTTTCTTATCTCAAAGTCACCTACTGGAAGTGCTGGACATCAAAGACATCAAAGCCAAGGCACAAGAGACTCCATTTCTTTGCAGAAAGGGCAAAAGAAGAAATCCAATAAATAAAAGGATAAAACCAGCCAAGACAGCAGCTACCCTTTGACAAGCTGGATAAGCAAACAGGAAGGGAAAAACCACTGTACACTGCTAATTAACTACAGCAGGAAAACAATTCTTGCCAGCAGTTTGAGTGATCACATTTCTCTGCTCCTCTCTCTGCTGCAGCTGAAAGAATTACACTGAATTGCTCCTGCTATTAAAGGCCATTAGAGTAAAAATTATGCCTGTAAAAATGACACCTTAAGCTCTCATATTTCTTCCCTCCCTGTGATTCAGCAGCAATTTTCCTCCACTTTCGTGTCAAAAGATTTCATTTTATTTCCTTTTCGCCGGGGCTGCTAGCAGAACTTCCCCTGTGCTCAGGGAGTGGAGCTGGGCTCCTCCTGTCACTGTTTTGGGTGACAAAGTGCCCTGAGCAGGGCGTGGGTGACAATTGTGGGATGGAGAGGGAGGCAGAGAAACACAGCACCCACTTCTCCAGAGCCCAGCAGGGTTTCCACCCTAGGAATCAGATAACAGCTGGGAAGAAGGCTTGGAAGTCACAGTTTTTGCAGGAGCTGGTGGTTTGATGTATGTGGTGGCCTGAGTGTTTAAGCAGCTATTTATTCACTGGGAGAAAAGTAATTATATCTGTGAGATTATCAATAGTTTTAGTCAGAGGCTGGAATAAAGACATGCTCTGTATTTCTGCTTCGTTTCAAGGCAGAGCTGTTTTCACAAGGAATATCTGTTATCTGCTGCTGTGGCAGTGTGATGGATGAGCAGAAAATGCAATACATACACATGATTAATACCATGTCCAGGCCAAATTAAATATTAATTCTCTCTATTATCAGTCAAGTTGCTTGCAAATGTTCACTTCCCCGTTACCTACAGCAGAGCAGCTGATGTGAAACCTCCTCTCCTCTGCAATGACATTCTCCACTGAAGGGGAAACACAGGAATCCCTTCCCAGAGCTGCAGCTCTTCCAATAAAGCAAAGGTTATTATAACACTTCTCCTTTCCCCTGTCAGACATTTGCCACAGGAATCAATCAAATGCTAACATTTTACAGGTGGCTGAAGAGAAGAAATCCATCATTTGGATGGATTTCCAAATCATCTGGCCACTGCAGAAATCACAGAATCACAGGGAAGGGACCTTAAAGATAATTTAACTCCCCCCCCCAGCCATGGCAGGGACACCTCCCACTATCCCAGGCTGCTCCAAGGACACTTCCAGGGATCCAGGGGCAGCCAGGAATTCCTTCCCAAATCCCATCTCTCCCCTCTGGCAGTGGGAAGCCATTCCCTTGTCCTGGCACTCTCTTTTCCATCTTCCCTCGGGCACTGGAACCAGTGCAGCTCCACACCCTGGATGTGACTGACAGCAGCACAATCCAGCTGTGGGCAGTGGCAAGGAGTTCTTTATTTATCCCAACACCTCCTCAATCCCAGGAAAAGCTGCCCTGGAGTGCTCAGCTCCTGCCTGGGGCCTGCTGAGACTCTGACCACACCACTGCTCCTTCCTCACCTCCTGGGCACTGCAGAAATAGAATCACTGAGCTGCAGCAGATCATTCCTTGCCCTTGGGGAGATATGAAAGCATCTCCCTGGTTTGGAGCCTGCAGGCACCACCCTGCAAGGAGCTCTGTAGCTCTCACAGCCAGACAAATCCACCCCCTCCCTTATTAACAGCCTGGCTCTGGGGGTGGCCCACACTTGGAAACATTTGGTGTCATGTGCATATGGAAAATGATGTGCACAGCATATGTTGGATCATCACTGGGGCCAGGATGAGACACACAACGCTCACACTGAGTAATAGCTCACCCCCCCTCTTCAATCATCTAGGAAAAAAGAAGCCAAAAGACAGGAAAACTGGAAAAAAAAGAAGGTAAAAGGATGGGGAAACTTAAAAAAAGAAGACAAAAGGATTGGAAAACTGTGGGTGTCTCTCCCAGAGTTAGGTGCAAGAGCCAAGGCCTCTGTCAGTGGGAAGTCACTGCCCTTGTCCTTGTCCCTCAGGGAATCCAGACTGGGACAGAGTCTCCAGTTGAGCCCTGACCAAGTGATGAACCTAAGGAGCCACCATTTCAATTTATTTGTGCCTGTGGGAAATTAATCCAACACTACTGTTGCTGGTATTTCAGTGAAAACAGGTTCTGGCCTCTGTATAACCAGATTTGAACATTTTTTTTGGAAAGAACAGCTCTTTCTATTTTCCTTTTTCCCACCAAGTAAATAAGCTTTGGGCCCTCATTGTGCCAAAGAAAACTAAGTTCTGCATCATTGGTCCAGAAAAAGAAAACGTCCTAAAATGATTATATCTAACAAAATTAAATTCTTATTAGAAAAACAACGGCCTGCTGGTGTTGAGATAATTACACTGAGAAAAATGCTAAAGAGAACAGTTAATTGGAGCTGGATAAATTTAGCAGGGAACACAAACAAATGTATGTTGCCAAATGGAGAGAGAGGGCTCCTCCTCGGTCCCCGTGAGGCTGAGGTGCTGGAGGGTTATTGGCAGCAAGGGTGGCAAAATAAATGAAGTTTTCTGAAGGGTTTGCAAAGACTGCTAAAGGACAGAGCATCCCTCAGCCTGTGGCCATCTGCTCTGGAGAAAATCTGAGCATTTTCCTGAATGCTCTTGGAGCTGGATTCTGCAAACCCTGGGATGGTTTTCCAGGCAGGGACAGCTCCACAGCGGTGTCACCCCTCACAGCCTCGGGGACAGGCTCTGGCTGTCCCACCTGAGCTGTCTGAGACCCAGGTGAAACAGGGAATTTCCAGCCTGGGCAGAACTCCAGCTGGAATTTGGGGCATTTGATCAGACTGTAACAATTAATTACTGACAGCTGCCCCAGGTTTCATCGTTCTCTCCAGGAACAGCCAGGGATGTTCCACGGGCACCGCTGGGCACAGAGGCTTCCTCCACCCTGGGAAAACAGCCTGTGCTCCCAGCCATGGCCTGGGCACCCTCTGGGCACCCTCTGGGCACCAGCCAGGGCCTGTCTGTGATGCCATGGGAAGGGGATGAGCACGGAAAGCCGGGCTGGAGCAGGGGCAGTGCCCACCCTGTGCCCCCAGGGCCACGCTCCGTGCCCTGGCACAGGGACAGGGCTCTGTCACAGGATGTCACCACAGGGCTTGGCAGGCTGCACAACATCACCTCTCCCGCAGGACTGTGCTAATTTGCTGGCTGAACAGTCCATTAATGGTAATTAATGTTTGCAAACAGCACAGCGAGCATCTGTCGCTCTGCTCTGCTCTCTGGGTGCATCTGCCGAGCTTTAGCCCTGGTTTTGCAGGGATTTGGGGCTGTGCCCGAATTTGGGATCACTTTGGGATCACAGAACACACCCAGGGCTGGTTTGTGGTGTGCAAATGTCAGCAAACAGAGCACCCCCAGGGACACAGCCTTGGGGGGACCTTGCTGGGCTGGGACAGGAGGGTGCAGGAGGCAGGGAGAGGATGCTCCAGCTGCATCAAGGGCTGCCAGATGTGCATCCAAACCCAAACCCACAGACATTTAGGACCTGTTTGTTTCTCTGTTGTCTTCCCCAGCCCCGCCAAAGAGTTTGAGAAGTAATTGCGTTGCAAATTGGTCTGCAAATATTGGAGGAGGAAATTGCCTCTCCTGACAGGTTCGCTGTATTCGGAGACTCCATCAGAGCTTCTGGCTCTGTTTATCTGCAGTGCAATTATTTTTTATTGCACTGGCACAGAGCATGGACATGTATGCATAAAACATGCAGTAAATAAATATTTCAAGGGTAAATCTCTCTAATATATTAGAATATCAAAGAGATGATGAAAAAGCTTAAGGCAGTGACAGCAAACTTTGGATTCAGTGAGCCTTGAGATACCTTTGCTACCTTGGAAATTCCCTTTTCCAAATGAGACTGACAGAGGCTCTCTGCAGTATTTTTCTCTCTGTGCCTGAGCAGTAAAATCAGTTTACTACGTGGTGATTTTTCCAGAATTTCTCCAATGCCTTTGAGAATTCAAGACTCAGTGCTTGTTTCCTACTTTTCCAGAGGCAGCAGTGGAAATAGATACAAGACATTATCAGGTAAAAGTCTTCTCAAGCAACACCCTGTGAATCTGTTGAAGGGAATTGTTTTCCAAACAGAGTCTTTAGGATTAGATTAACCACCCAGTTTTCTTTAAAAACCCCTTAAAACTCACACCTGCATGCCCTGAAATAAAACAGAAGGCAGGAAATAGATCACAGAAAAAAAAAAATTACCAACTAGAAGCAGCACACTCCCATAAATTCTGAATGAACAGAAGAGCAAACAGCTAAAAAAATTGAATTAAGGTCTGGGAAGGAAGCAGTGCTGCCCCTGCAGCCCAGAGGGGATCCGTGCTGGGCTGACTCATCCTTCCCTCCACAAAAACCCCTCATTCATCCACCTGCTCTGCCCTTTTGGGGTCATCCACCACCTTCTCCTCATCTATCCTGGCCCCTTCACACTGCTCTCAATCAGGCCTCACTGTGGAAAAAAAACAACCCCAAATCAACTAAAAAATGTCAGAGAAATGCAAGTTTCTGCCAGGACCCTTTAATGCCAAGGGCTGAGGTGGAGGGGTGTCCCTACAGCATCAACTCCAAGCCAAGGCTGTCCCAGGATCTTGAGGACAGATGGGGACAGGGAGCAGCAGCAGCAGCAGCTCTGGACAAGGGGGGAGAAAGGGGGAACCTCCTTTCTGTGCCCCCACACAGGAGGTTCCCCATCCCCTGCTGCAGATCCAGGGCTGAAATCCCATTTTCCCCTTCTTTCCACAACCGTCTCTATTTAATTAAGAGCCTGGAGAATCAAACTCCAACATTTCAGAGAGCAAGGTCACGTCCAGAGCACCGTGCCCAACATCTGCTTTCCTGGTAATTGGCTCAGAGTGGCAATTTGTCAATGGTTGGAAAATAACGAGCTTCCCATTTGTGTTCCAGCCATCCAAACTTGCAGATAAGGACAGGAGCTGAGGCTGTTGGATGTCAGCTTCTCTCTGGATACAAAACTGCCTGAGCTGGTGCCCTGTCTCCCACCCCAGAGCAGTGCTGCCCATCAATACAGAGGTTAAGCAACTTGTTTTTTGAAGTCTGGCTGCGCTCAGACTCTCAAGATGTTGAAATGCCACGTTTTTAAATATCAGCTGTCACAATGACAAGGATAATTATGGTTCTTTTGGCCCTGTTAGCAATACTAAGTTACAGTGTTTTTAAAGGTATTGAGATCTCCACACAGAACTCAAAAAAATAAAAAGTTCTAAATATTACCAGAATAGCCAAAATGTTTTGTACTGAGTGTTTATCTTGTGAAAAACTCTTATGGAAGTTCTGCCATTTACCCTGAAAATCTGCAGACAGCAGTCAAACTGAATTGCTCTCCATAAATTATTGAGGCTTTGGGCTTTATTTTTAGGTGAAAAGTTTGAAAGAAAGGAAAGTTTTTAGGAACTCCCAGGAGATTTAGGCTGGAAAAGATTCAAGATCATCCTGTGCCCCATCCCCAGCTTGTCCCCAGCCCAGAGCTCTGAGTGCCACCTCCAGGGATGGGATCCAACCCTCCCTGGGCAGTTCCAGTGCCTGAGCTCCCTTTCCATGGGGAAATTCCTGCTGCTGTCCACCCTGAGCCTCCCCTGGCCCAGCCTGAGGCCGTTCCCTCTCCTCCTGTCCCTGGGAGCAGAGGAAATCTCTGCTGGAACAACCCCTCTGCTCCTCCCTCTGCCACGGCTCAGTCCCACCTGTGGACACATTCGAGGTGTCTTTACCTCAAGGAAGGAACAGAAGCACACCAGGCCAGTGCTGCCAGCAGAGCTGTGCACAGAACAACCTCACCATAAACCTCATCCCATCCCAAATTTCTCTGCCCTCACCAGGATTCTCTCCAAAACCAGCCACAGGGAGAGATTTATTGCTCTGCCCTTCCAAGCAGGTCCATCTTTACCCTCTGGCAGCTGAGGATAACCAAGAGCACGGCAGAGACTTCCAGCAGTGCCACTCTCCAGCTCGTACCTGTCCAGGGAGATGCAGCAGAGGTGCAGGATGGACGCTGTGGTGAGCAGCACATCCAGGGATGTCCGAACCAGGCAGAACATCTCTCCATAGATCCAGTTGTCCTGAACCAGCTCGATGGCTCCAAAGGGCATCACCAGCACTGACACCAGCAGGTCAGCAAAGGCCAGGGAAACAATGAAATAGTTGGTCTTGATTTTCCTGCAAGGCAGATCACAAAATGAGGCTGGGTTTGGTGCAGCAGCCTCCACACGTGGACAGAGATTTCAGCCTGAGGTTGGGTTTAATCTGCCCCATCACACTAAAAGCTCCTCTCTAGCACACTGCTCACTTTATATGGTCACCCCAAGCTTGCTCCTGATTTTTAAAGCTAAATAAATGTATGAATACATTTTCCTGGCCCAAATACGTCTTTCTGCTCACCCAGAGGATGCAAATGGATGTTCACAGGCCTCTGCATGTGCCTCAGCCTCACAGCTTGCACTGGAGACTCTGAGGTGCAGGAGGGGATTTTATTTTAACTTGTAAATGGAGAAAATCCTTCCAGAAAGCACTGAGAATAATCTAGACTGAAGCTGTAATTTTAACTTGAAGAGTACTTTTTAAATCACAACAATAAAATAGAATTAAATCCATTAAAAATCCCACGCAGCACATGAATAGAGGCTGTTAAATCTCTCTCCCTGCTCCTAAGGCTGGGCTGACAATTCCCAGGGCTAGCAGCAGCCCTGAGACAGGAATTGTGACCCCCTCAAATCATAGGCAGAGTTTGCCAAGTTGTGCTGCTGCTGCACAGTCACAACCAGCCCTCGGTCTGTGCGGTGATGATGAGCTCATTGGGAAATTCCAGATGGAAAAGGGGCAGAGGCCAACCTGTTTCTCCAGGGAATTGCTGCTTAGCTGCACTTCCCACTGATTTGTCTGGTTCTCTAGGCTGAGAATGCGAAAAAGACGAGGATGGGAATTACAGCGGGGCCAGCGCTGCGGGGTGAGCCGAGGGCAGAGGGGTCTGCAAGGCAGGAACACCTCCCTCAGCTCCTCAGGACTGGGTTTGTCCCCCTGGGGCCACCTGGGTGGGCTCACCTGAGCTGCCTGTCCCGGCACACGGCCACCATGACCAGCAGGTTGCCCAGGATGGCCATCAGGATGACGGCGGAGACGAAGGAGAGCAGCACGATCTTCCCCGCGACGCCGAAGCCCTCACTGGAACTGGGAGGGAGCACGAGGACACCGGGGAGACAAAAGGAGAGGAGCTGCAGTGGCCCTGGGAGGGGTGGCCCAGCACTGGTGGTGCCGACAGCAGCCACTCCCCTGCCTGTCACTTACCACAACCCTTTCCATCCATGGCCATTCCCATTGCTATTCCTATGGCCATTCCCTTCCCATGGCCCTTCCAATTGCCATTCCCATTCCCATGGCCATTCCCATTGCCATTCCACTGCCATTGCCATTGCCATTGCCATTGCCATTGCCATTGCCATTCCCATTCCATTGCCATTCCCATTCTCATGGCCATTCCCGTTCCCATTCCCATTCCCATTCCCATTCCCATTCCCATTCCCATTCCCTTTCCCTTTCCCATGGCCACTCCCATTCCCATTCCACTGCCATTGCCATTGCCATTCCTGTTCTCATGGCCATTCCCATTCCCATTCCCATTCCCATTCCCTTTCCCATTCCCATTCCCATTCCCATTCCCATTCCCATTCCCATTCCCATTCCCATTCCCATTCCCATTCCCATTCCTATTCCACTGCCATTGCCATTGCCATTGCCATTCCCTTTCCCATTCCCATTCCCTTTCCCATTCCCATTCCCATTCCCATTCCCATTCCCATTCCCTTTCCCATGGCCACTCCCATTCCCATTCCACTGCCCATTCCCATTCCCATTCCCATTCCCATTCCCATTCCAGCCCCATTCCCATTCCCAGCCCCATCCCCATTCCCATTCCCATTCCTGTTCCCATTCCCATTCCCATTCCCATTCCCAGCCCTCTTCCCATTCCCACTCCCATTCCCATTCCCATTCCCATTCCCATTCCCATTCCCACTCCCATTCCCACTCCCATTCCCACTCCCATTCCCACTCC